ACCTTGCCTGCTCGCTCCGTCCTTTCGCTCTGAAACACCAAACGTGTTTCATGTTGAAGTTTTTGTGGGAAAGCTACCGTTCAAAGGGCGAGCAGCAGCGCTGGGTACCGTGTGCTGGGATTTGGCAAATAAGTGTGTCATCAGTGATTCATTTGTTTTAGACGATCCAGACCTGAAAGATATTGACCCGACGGTATTAAAACATTGCCATGCTGCGGCTGCAACGTGTATTCTGGAGGCAGGAAAGCACAAAGCCGACATTGCTGCTATAAGGTACTAACACTTTGAAGCTACCCCATTTTTTCTAGCGGTTGTTACTTTAAACTGTACTGCTGAGTTAATGTTAACAGAAAACTAATAAATTCTTTTTCCCTGTAGCACATGTCTAGAAGACTGTAAACTGGATAAAGAGAGAATAGAACAATTTTGCACCGAATATCAGGTTTTTAAACCAATTTTAACATACTTATATTTTCTTTCTCTCATAGGAATTTATTGAACCTAGCAAATTTTTTTTTCCTTTTTTTTTTTTTTCCCCCCACCAGAAAAACAAGGATGCATTGGAAATCCTATTGGGAAGGTAGGTCAATCAGTCAGCACAGATACATAGTTTCAATTACAGCAACTTTGAAACTGTCCTGGAAGACACCTATGCATACTTTAGCTGATTAAAGTAAGAAATACTGTTCCATTAAAAAAAAAAAAAAAGTACATTTTTAACGAACTTTAGAAAACAGCTCTTGAAACTTTTCTTCCTCCTTTTGGAATTCTAGTCTTAAGAAACTTCTTGAACTTTTCAAGAAGCATTACAAGGAGCGTGAAAAAGTTACTTGCTGATGGACAGCTTGAGAAAATGACATTTTTCTCTTAGTGCGGGGAACTTGTAACTGTTGTGTCTTTCAGCATAGGCAGATCTCCTCTCCATATAACTGATGTGTCTTGGCGCTTGGAATATCAGATCAAGGTAATTTGAACACATCAAGGTGTTTCTTTAGTCTGTTTCAGTGCTGAGACCTGACTTTTTTTCTATGCTCTGTGTTTTTAATGTAGAGCAATCAACTTCATAAAACTTACCAGCCTTCCTACTTGGTGACCTTAAATGTAGAGGTACTGTACTCCCAGCACCCTCAGAGGAAAAAATGCAATTTCATTATAATTTTTTTAATGAAACAGACATTGTTGGGTTTTGTTTGTGTTTTTTTTTTTTCCTCTTCAGAACAGTGATTCAGGATCACACCCAGATGTTAGTTTTAGTTGCACAATGGAGCAATTACAGGTACTTCTTTCCTTCATTATTGTTTCTATGCTTGGCTCCAGTTGTGGATATAAATGTTCTTAACAACTTGCCAATCAAAATGAAGTCATATATACTATTATAAAAAAAAAAAAAATCCAGGACTGGGAGGGTAGGGGAGGATCTTCTACAAAAATTATCCGAGTGTAGTTTTCCTGTCTTCTCAAATAAAGTTGCAAAGTAACTGATTTTAGTTGCATGGGGAGCATTTTACATACGTGCATAAATATTTTGTCTGTTTTCATAACTGTCATGTATATGTAACATATATGTATGGGAGGAAATACATCATTTTTCTGAAACTCTGATCTCCCGTGCTTTAGAGAAATGATTAAAGAAGCTGGTTCAATGATTTAAATGTGTCACGATTAAAAATAGAGAACGAACTGAAGGCTCTTCAGTGGTGTTAATGACATGTAAGAAATGTACTGAAACAAACGTTGATCTTTGTTTAGCGATTTAAATGTGTAACTGAACAATAGAGGTATTGTAATGCTTGGAAGTGACCAAACTCTGGAGGATTGGGCAGAGGGGTTGGGGGGAGAGGAAAAGCAAGATATTAAAACTAAAGGTTTACACCTCTCCTTTTTTCATGTGTGTCTCAAAAGTTGTCCTTCACTTAATAATGAGTGTTTTGAATTGGTTTGCTGACTCGGTTAGATCTGACGTGCTTTGGTTGGAGAATGGTCCTAGTACAAAATTACACTCAAGGTATTTTCAGTATTTTAGAAATGTATATGGTACTTCAAAGCCTAGAGCAAATGTCAGCGTTAGCCATTGTAACGATGCCGATAAAATCTACGTGTTAGGAGTAGTGATCTATTTTACTAGATGATTGTATACGTTAAAAGGTGTTTTCCTTCAGCTCCCACTTTTCTTACTACATGGTAAAAGAGGGAGCTATTTAATTACTCGCTGGCATTGTTCATCAATTGCAACATTTCTTGTGGTATAAGGTGATGGTTTCCCACGACTCTGCGTATAAAAAAGTATCATGTTCTACTAGCTGACCTTTTAAAAAATATGTTTATTCTGAGACAGTATTTCATCTCTTAGGATTTAGTTGGAAAACTAAAAGATGCTGCAAAAAGTCTAGAAAGAGCGACTCAGATGTGATTGAAGGAAGGTGTCAGCCTGCTGAGCTGAAGTACTCTCATTCCTAAGAGTGTCTTCTAAAAGACAAATGTCTTTCATCTCTGGATGTAAACTGTTCTTTTTTTTTTTTTTTTTTTAATTCCTTGGATGCGAATTAAG